TCTAAGACATGTTTCCTGGATAAAACAACTTAGATACACAACCCAGATGCCTCCTCTTCCAGATCAGGAGAAGGTTCTAAACATATGTGATCAACACACATTTGTTTAGTGCCTAAAGCATCTGCAATGTCATTCCTTTAGTCAACAAAATTATGCGCAACTTGCTGACGTGATGTTCTAACATCTGATCGAACATCATTCCAAGGAACACACCAAGAGATCCTTTGACAAAGGTTAGAGATTGACTTTTAGGGTTAAAAGCAAAAATAAATTGCTTCTAACTTTCTTCAGATCTCTTTTCAACAAACTCACTTAAAAATGCCTTTATGAGTGGACTTAAGATGAACCACAAGTATCTTTGGTAACTTTACAAAGTTGGTTGAAGTTGTCTTCCACATCTCCCATCATTGTAGGATAAACTGCTGAGGATATCAAAACATAATTCTCTACCCTTATTGGTATTCCAGATACATACCTTACGAAAAGTCTCAACACCAGAGACATTGGAAACAACCAGAGTCACATCAGATACCATGCAGCAGAACACAACCCAAAAACAACTCCTCAACAACTTTCATGCACAACTTGATCATCCTTGCACACAAACATCACAATCTCAGTGCCCAAAAAAATAGAGGTTTGAAAATAAATCAAACCACAGCATAACAACTCTCTACCAAAGCCACAAGCCTGATAATAACAGACAGGTCCCATACACACCTTGTCACGAATAGTCCATCCTCCACTTAAAGGGACCATTCAAACAATAATATGAACTATCCAAGTTCAACCAATTTTTCAGTAGATACCTCCTTCCTTGCCCATGGACCAGAAAGTATTATCTCAGGATCTCACCCAGAAACAAAATAGGATGCCTGCTCTGATACCAATTGAAATTCTAGTAAGTCAGATGACATATGTCCTATAGGATGTCAAGACATCTGTTTTGATTAAGACAAACATAACAAGGTATAACAAACAAAAACTCGTGCTAGCCAAGTCAAGTTTCAGAGCAAAATTCTCAGACTTCGTTCAGGTAGAATTCTCCACCATTTCACTTCAAATAAATTTCTAAGATGTAGTATCTTCTTCTCTGAAGCTCATGCTTCTTCTGGTTTCCATTTTCATGGTGAATTGATCATTTAGTTTCAGAGCAAAACTCGTTTTCACCTTTTCCTCTGGTTTTCTTCAAATCGAGTGAGCTACAGGTTATATAAATTTTTCGCGAAGACATGGTTGTCTTCGTCTTGATGAGGCACCGGTCTGAGCTTCCAATTTTACAATTTATAGAACCTACAACTCGTGAGTGGTTGGAGGTTGAAGATGACGAGCGTGTCATCTCTCAACCAATGTCATGATGCCACACTATTTTTCAAAATTTGTTTTAAATTAATCTTCTAGTGCTTTATTCACTAATGAACATATCATGCACAGTGCGCCATATCTCTTGGATTTGATTACTAATACGTTTTGACAATGATCAGATGGTCCAAGTTTTTTTTGTTTATTATTTTATTTTCCGATTTTTGTTTTAATTGTTTTAAACTTCAAAAATTCATAAAAAAATAATTTGAACTTCTAAAATTGTGAAAAAAATATCAAAAATACTTTTGCTTTTTCTCTTTCTGATTTTTAATTTTTCACAATTTTATTTTGTTATTTTGTATTATTTTTAATGATTTTTCACTTTATTTGATTTGTTTTAATTGTTTAAAAATACTTTTTGGTCATTTTAAATTCTGGAAAAATTATGGAAGGATCCAATGATGTCTTGACAAATATTAGGGACCTCTTTTTATTTTTATTTTTATTTTTTATTTCATTAATTTTCACAAATTTTGACTTATTTTGCTTATTTCTTTATATTTTAAAAATAGTTTATGACTTTAAAAAATTCTAAAATATTTTGTAAACACTTGTTGACTCATATTTGACCTCTGATATCTTTTTAAGATTTTTATTTGATCTTTTAATACATGTTGTGTATTTTACCAATTATTTCCTTTTTATAAATTATTTAAATTTAGTTTTTATATTAAACATATTTTGTTATTTTTTGATTGGTCCGAATTTGGAGATACTTGAGTGTTATTTTGAGACAAATTCCTCAACCTCATTGGATCTTGGGTGTTGATAGGTTGAAAAACCAAATTCACCAAAATGGACGAATGATGTTGATGATATTTGAAACCCTAATTTCATATGATACATTGGTTACACTATCATTTCACTCCCTCTTCATCTTATCCCTTTCTTATTTTTACTTGTGCTACATATTTTTTGGAGAATGATCTACATATCATTTCTCTAACATGTATGGTACATAGATTGCTATTGATCGACCTCAAAATAGGTGTGACTTCTACATAAGCCCACTTACGATTACTTAACATAGCGCTAAATTTGTCCTGATTCGAAAAATGATCATTTGTGGCTCAAACTTATATTTACGAGCTCAAGTATGTTTAATTTGAAACCTTGGATCCAATAACTTTGAAGTTCATTGTTAGGAGGCTTTAATTCTATCAATCCTCTAATGAACTTCATGAATTTTGGTCTAAGTGAATCATTTGAACATCGTTGATCATATGTGTTGGCTTTGAGTACTTGAAATGAATGATATACTTGATAAAAAGCAAATGAAACTTGTTGTTGAGAGGCTTTGATTTTATCAATCTTCTAATGAGCTTTCAAAAACAAGCTTCAAGATGGTCATTCAACTAACCTTTTATTATACTTGACATCTAACTTATAATTCACTAACAATTAACTTTACTTTATGCCTTTATTTTATGCCTTTACTTTTATGAACCATTTATTTTTTTAGCATTTGCATCTCATGCTATTTTCCTTTTGCTCACTTAAACATTTATTTTTATGTCATTTTATCTTTGCTCACTTGAGCTTTTATTTTCTTTTGAAGACACTTAATAATCAACTTGAACATTAAAAGCTTTAAGGTTACTTGGACTATCTGGTTACTATCCCTAACACTGTGGAGTTGTGGATTCCTGAGACTTAGGATTTGAAGCCATGAGACATTGGAACTCTGTGATCTTTGGTTGATATTTTTGTAAAAATCTTCTGAAATCCTCGGGGTTTACTCCAAGGCATTGGTTTGAATTTTTTGTGTGCAGGTTATTTTGATTTTCATGTTTTATCTGTGATTGAGAATTCCTCCGTATACAATTGTTACTCTAGCTAATTTTTATCAATGAATACTTTACTTGGTTCTTAATTCATCTAAAGCTTGGTATTCCTTAGAGATTTATTATCTTTGCTTGTTTGGTTTTAATCCAAAGGATGAGAATTCTATATTGACTTCTTCATGTCAAGTGTTGGCTTCTTGTTAGTTATATCGTTCTTTTTCTTAACTTTTACCTTATGCTTTAGGATAGTCCCTTCATCTCTTCCTATCTTCTTTAAAATCTTCTCACTCCTTTTCAAAACTCTTATTGTTTTCTAACTTGAACCGCTTTCATAATAAACTTGGACTTAGGTCCACGCATTTTCAAAAAGCTTTTTCTTAATCAAACCTTTAATCAATTTAATCATACTTTGACATCTTTTTCAAGACTAAAAGTTATTAACATCAATCAAATCATTTTGCCACTTTGGCTTTTGATTTTAAAACTTTTCTCAAAAGATTAGACTCTTGTTGATCCTTGTAGTGATGCAAGCTACTATACTTCTACAATATATAGTGAAGTGAGTCATTTTCCACTTGGGTGTTGAGGGATGAATTTTAAATCCAAGTTATATCCTCCACTTTGAGATGACACAAATGCTCCTTTCTCATAATTGTGGGTAGTAAGTATGTTTTCCACTCAGATATGACGATGATGTCTCTTCTCTTAAAATTAACCAACACACTTGTGTTTTAAATTTTTTAAGGTGAACTACGAGTACTCTGATCCCCTATTGCACAGAAGGTGGTACGTATGCACTAAAGGTTCGCAACTGCGACAGGTGAAAAATTGTAAAAAATACTTCTTTTCTCATCTCCACCATCTTATTTTGTATACACCTTTTATAGCCAAAATACACAGATTTTCAAAGAGATTCATGCGGAGTACCGTAGATGTTTAAGGTGCTAATACATTCCCTTTGCATAACCAACACCCGTACCTGAATTCTCTCCCCGTCTTTTTTTTATAGTTTATTCGCTATTTTCCCATTTCCTTTGGAAACAATAAAGCGCAGTGGCGATTTAATTTGATCTGTACGAGTTAAGTCAATCTAATGGCTTAGTCTCAACATTTCTACCGCTAAAAGGTGCACATAAAAATTCAGAGATATCATTCAATATACAAAAATGCGAAGGTTATCCAAGTTTTGACATCATGTAAAACATCTAATGGGAAAAGTGCACTCACAATAATGATGACAAACAACTACCAAACAGTGTGAATTCGCCGAATGTTGGGTGAGTGAAGTGTAATGTGAATGTTGTGTTCTATAATCAAAGAGGAACAACAAATAGGAGTTGGTGTGTTTGAGACTGTTATGGTAGATTCATTATTACAGATATAACGGTGGATTTAGGTCTTTACTCAATCATAGAAGCAAAAGCCATGACCTTGAAAGAAGCGATTCAGGCAACCATTCAAATGCAATTAGATCAGGTATAATTTGAGAGTGATTCTCAAATAGTGGTTCAAGCAATCTATACTAACAAAGGTGGTAATTCTGAATTTAGTTTAATCATTAGTTCTATTAAGAGTTTATTACAAATTCAATCCAACTTTAAAATAAAATTTCTAAAACGTCGAGTGAATGCAACCAATTCTTAAATAAGATATAGTACTTTTAATTTGATTGCTCCGTGTATTGAATAACCATTTTTAAATAAAATAAATTAAATTTGTTTGAATAAAAAAAAGTAGTTCAGGTTAAAGTTTTAACTCAATTTCTTATATAATTTTTTTAATTTCTAAAAAATAATATATGATGATGTATTAAATGATGATGACAATTTATTTAATACATTCATCCTACATGGACCACACAAAACAAATGACCCAACGAATGAATGAAGCGCATCGTGAAAACTTCATAGAAACACCTAATGTTTCCCACCCAAATCCCATAACATTACACATCACACTCACTTCATTGGTGTGGAACCTGTTCTTATCTCATCCCCCTTGCCACCCACTCTTTTGTTTCTACTTCCGTTTCCATTCTCTTCAATTTCACACACCAACCAAAACAAAAACATTCACCAAAGTCCAAACTCTTTCAACTCAAATCAACAGATCCACACTACATATATAGAGATTGCAGCAAGAAACAGAACCAATTCTTAAACACACATTCAAAATCCAAATACAAAAACCCATAAACAAACATGAGTGCTGTGAATCTTAACACATGGACACACTCCAATTTCATGTTCAATCAAGTTACTGCTACCAGATTCAGATCCAGATCCACATCCACATCTTTCTATTTTACCAAAATACCCTCCACCATTAAACCCCAAACTCATACCCAATCCATGAACTCTTCTTCTTTTCATTTTTCCGTTTCAGCTTTGCTCACTAAACAAGAAACAATTGAAACCGAAGAGAAACCAGTTTTCGATTTCAAATCCTACATGATCGAAAAAGCAACTAGGGTTAACAAAGCCCTAGACGACGCCGTTTCGTTACGCGAACCATTAAAAGTTCACGACGCTATGCGATACTCTCTCCTCGCCGGCGGAAAGCGCGTCCGCCCCGTCCTATGCTTAGCCGCCTGCGATCTCGTCGGAGGAACCGAATCTATGTCGATGCCAGCCGCCTGCGCCGTCGAAATGATCCACACTATGTCGCTCATCCACGACGACCTTCCGTGTATGGATAACGACGATCTCCGACGAGGAAAACCGACGAATCACAAAGTCTACGGAGAAGACGTCGCGGTTCTCGCTGGAGACGCGTTACTCGCTTTCGCCTTCGAGCATATTGCAGTTTCTACATCCGGCGTTTCTCCGGCGAGAATCGTCCGCGCGATCGGAGAATTAGCGAAGTCAATCGGCTCAGAAGGACTCGTTGCCGGTCAAGTGGTTGATATAAACTCCGAAGGTTTATCTGATGTGGGAATAGAGAGGCTCGAGTTCATTCATCTTCATAAAACCGCGGCGTTGTTAGAAGGTGCGGTTGTTCTCGGTGCGATTCTCGGTGGCGGTTGCGATGAAGATGTTGAAAAACTGAGAAAATTTGCTAGGTATATAGGTTTATTGTTTCAGGTTGTTGATGATATTCTTGATGTGACGAAATCTTCGCAAGAATTAGGTAAAACGGCTGGGAAAGATTTGGTAGCTGATAAGGTTACTTATCCAAAGCTTATGGGGATTCAAAAATCTAAAGACTTTGCTGAGAAATTGAACAGGGATGCACAGGATCAGCTTTCTGGCTTTGATTCTAGGAAATCTGCTCCTTTGATTGCTTTGGCTAATTACATTGCTCATAGGCAAAACTAAGCTCTTTTGATTTTTTTTAGTTTTAGATTTATCCAAATCATTTGCAATGGGGGAATGTATAGAATAGTTAAATTGTCTCATTTTTACCCCTTGGTTTTCCTTTTTGTTAATTCTATCAATACTCTCATTATTGTGGAAGAGCTATGTTATTTACATGGATGTTTGTTTCATTATCTGAAGTTGTTCTTCCAAGGGTAATTGGTTGGAAGCATTTACATCTCGCCAAACACAAATTTGATGTCTTAGTTGCTTGTCAAGCCTTTTTTTTTTCTTGGTTAAAACTCAGTTTTATTGTACCATTTACAAGTTAGGGAGGTGAGTTTAGACCTCTTACCCCATTGCCCTTAGTATGGATATTCATAGATTGCAATTGTCTTCAATTCTTACATCAGAATGGGTATAAGACAAATTTAGAGTTAGGTCTTGTCTTATTACTTGGAACAATTCACAGATAACCACAAACTTAACTATAAAAATGCCACATAAACCGTTCTAATTGATTTTGATTTGAACTTTGACTAAATTGATTTGATATATTAGTTCGAAATTCTAAAATGTAAAGAATCATTAAGAAAATATTTTTTAATCTTAAGTCTCTTAACATTCATAATTTTTCTCAGACTTTTTAACGCTAACAAGTCACAATTTTATCTCTCCACGCTTTTTCTTTATAGTACACTTTTTTTGACTATTCTCTATTCTTTTGTGTGTTTTTTTTCTTCTTCTTTTCAATCTTAGACCTTTTAACGCCGCCTAATCACCTACCCGGCAAGGACACAAGTGTTAATCCTCTCGAGACTAAGAGTACTTTCAACAGGAGAATTTTTCTTTGGTTTTTCGGCGTACAGAGTATTAAATTTTGTTGTCGTTGGAGACATGTGACCTATTCAACCGTTCCTATATAGTACAACAGTAGTTTCTATTAAAATATTAATATAATTTAAATTTTGATTGTAACGTCTCTTTCTATTTTTTTTTCTTTTTTTTATAAACATTTTTAGTTAGCTATAAATACACCCTATTTGAAAAATTTTACACAAATTTTCTTTCACACTTTTATTTTCTCTTAAGTTTTCAATTGTTCTCTCAAAATTTTATCACTTTACTCTAAAATTTGAAATTTTTCTCTTACAATTTATTCTCATTAGCCTTCATTTGACAATATATTTTACTCAAATTTTTACCTTTTTACTTCAAAATTAATATTGTTTAGGCCAAATGGATCCTAATAAATTTAATTATCAACAATCTATGTTCAATTTCATGTAAAATTTTCAAAATCCTAATCCTCAAAATTCTCAATTCCCATCGATGCCAACAAACTCCGCCGTTTTTTTCCGCCATCAACCGGAAACACTCCGCCGCATTTTTTCCGTCACCAAACTCCACCATATGGTCAACCATCTATGAAATTTTTTCGTCATGAACCGGAAACACCGATTGTGTCTATGTCCGAAAGTCAAGTTCCACCATTTTCAACTCAAGTCGGTATTGAAAAAGAAGAAAGTCGCCCTGTTAAAAAAAAAGCTCGAGAGGTATTTTCAAGGGATGAAGATATACTTCTTATCCAATCATGGCTCAATGTTTCAAAGGATTCAATTGTAGGAGTTGATAAAAAAGCTGAGAGTTTTTGGTTAAGAATCACTACCAATTATAACGAGTATCGTGGACAATCGCGGGAAAAGCTACGTGGGCAATTAAAATCTCGATGACATCGAATAAATGACTTGGTTCAAAAATTTGTTGGATGTTACAAACAAGCTGTTAATGGAAAGAAAAGTGGGACTTCGGAGAAAGATATCTTGGCTGCTGCATATGTATTTTTTGCTCAACATGAAGGTACACCATTCAATCTTGAGTACGCATGGCGATTGTTAAAGGATGAACCTAAATGGATGGGAGCATCGACCGAAAATTCTTCAAAAAGAACAAAGAATTTTTCTAGTGGGACACACTCATCACCGTCTAACCTCGCGACACCTTCAAGTTATGAGTTTAACTCATCATCATCAATGGAGCGTCCAATGGGACAACAAGCAGCAAAAAGAAAGAGTAAGGCAAAAGAAAATGAATCTGAATCACCTTCTAATGTTGTGCAAGAAACATGGAATAAAAGAGTAGCGGCAATGGAAATACTAGCTCAATGTAAGGAGGACGAGATGGAGTATAAGGCAATGCAATTACTCTTGAAAGACACTTCTATGATGAATGATAGTCAACGAGATATTCATGAAAAATATTGTAATAAGTTGAAAAAAAAAAGGATTTTAGTTATGATGAAAAGATGTAGTACTTATTATGTATCAACACCTATGTAAAATGGTCATTAGTACCAATTTAATTTATAATAAATATTATGTTGTTATTCAAACTAGCCGTTATTCAAACTAGCCGCTATTCAAACTAGCCGTTATTCAAACTAGCCGTTATTCATATATACTATATAAATGACCACTCTTCTCATTATTTTCTCATTCTTCTCTCAATCTTCTCTCATTCTTCTCTCTTTTTTCTCTCATTCTTCTTTCATTCTTCTTTCATTCTTCACCCACTTTAATGGATTCAGACAGTTTAGATGATCTCTTTTGGGACTTGATTGAAGAAGAATTTATGGACAACACTGATGAAGAACTACTAAAGTCAATGCTCGAGAAGGAACATCAATCTAGAAGTTCCTCTAGGCCAAAGAGAAGAACAATGATAGATCGTAATCGTGAAGAAGGGCACAATCGTTTATTCAATGACTACTTCTCAGAAAATCCAGTATACACATATGTTCAATTTCAAAGAAGGTTTAGAATGCATAGGAATGTGTTTCTTCGAATTGTAGCCGCCCTTGAAAATCATGATGAATATTTCCGAATGAGGGTCGATGCAACTGGTAAAATGGGTCTTTCACCATTGCAGAAATGCACATCTGCTATTCGTATGTTGGCATATGGGTCTCCTGCTGACAGTGTGGACGAATATGTTCGAATCGGTGAAAGCACTTCAGTTGAGTGCTTAGAAAGATTCGTTCGGGGCGTGAATGTTATATTTGGGGCAGAGTATTTGAGAAAGCCTAACAACACATATGTTGCACATCTCTTACAAATGGGAGAGTCACGTGGCTTTCCAGATATGTTGGGTTCCATTGATTGTATGCACTGGGATGGAAAAATTGTCCTGTTGCATGGAAAGGACAATTTTGTCGAGGCGATCATGGTAAGCCCACAATCATGCTTGAAGCAGTGGCATCACAAGACTTATGGATTTGGCATGCATTTTTTGGTATTGCAGGTTCAAACAATGACATTAATATGCTAAACCAATCCAATGTGTTTAACGATATTTTGGAAGGACATGTTCCCACTATGAACTATACAATCAATGGAACATCATATAATATGGGGTATTATTTAGCGGATGGTATATACCTTGAGTGGGCTACATTTTTCAAGACTATTTCAATGCCGCAGGGAGAAAAGAGAAAACTATTTGCTCAACACCAAGAATCAGCTAGAAAGGATATGGAGCGGGCATTTGGAGTGCTCCAATCTCGATTTGTAATTATACGCGGCCCAGCACGTGCCTGGAATATGGAAACCCTTAAGCATACCATATATGCTTGCATCATATTGCATAACATGATCGTTAAAGACGAACGCCACACATATGGAGGTGATTTTGATTACTCTTATGATAATGTAGATGACACCTACTCAACAACTGAAACATTTAACGGTCCTCATCCGAATCCTGCAACAAGACTACAAAGAAGAGCAAGTCTTCGTGAAAAACAAGTTCATCGCCAACTTCAAGGAGATCTAGTCGAGCATATTTGAGAACGTTTTGGACATGAGAATGATGACAATTAAATTTGAGTAATTCTGTTATGTTATTTATTTTTAATGTTTTTAATTATGTCATGTATTTGAGATTAATTTTAATTATCATTTTAAATTTTATGTTTAATTTTAATTTGATTTATTTTATATTAATTTAAATTTAAATAATTATTTTAAATCAAATAAAATTTAATATGAATAAAATATTAATATATAAAGTAAAGATGTGAGACCTAATTTGAGTTCTTTAGAGTTGCACCATTGGAGTGAAAATTGAATGAGTTGCTTCAAGATGATGTGGCTTAATGGGTCTCACAAAAAACCAAAAATTGGGTTGCACCATTGGAGGTACTCTAATGCATAAACTCCCGAGTCTGCATCTACATTAGAGATGTGTAAAAATATGGTTAATTGATTTTTATAGTAAATTGAATTGTATTGTATCACAAAAATATAATTATTTAAATAATTATTGAATTGAATCATTTATTTTAAAAAATTTACTTAACTAAATTATATTATAAAATTATTATGAGTCACTCGCAAGACCCAAAAAAACAGATCCAAGAGTTCCATCAGGCGATAAAATGCATATAGTAGGTGATTTCTCATTTTTTTAGGAAAATGTAATTATGTCCTCTAGACAGGTTGACCATCGTCAGTTTGGATCTAACGACCACCCACACGATGTGTTTAAATTCACGCGAACGATTTTCAAATACATTCAAATACCCGTACAATATACCATTTTAGATATTCAAATACATTCTCAATCTCACAGTACTCCTTATTCTCTCACTGATTTGGGTGTTGGCGTACTAACTTTGCAGGTCAGCTTTATCTCCACCACACTAGAAGCATAAATTCATCGCAGCAAGGCATTACCTCATCATATCATAAATCATTTCAAGTTATGAACCGAATTGTGGCTCTGTATGTGAGAATCAACATTTGATTAGTGTGAATACCACAAAGAACAACTATTTTTCGTCGTAGATCCAGATCTCATATTTTTTTCCTTACAAAGATCAATCTCTTTCTGAACAATCTGATACCAAACTCCATAAGCTTTGGTGAATTAGAAAGTAGCTCGATTTGCCAAAGACATCAGTGTAGCTGCTAAAGCTAGTAAGGCTCACCCTCCTCCACCAGAGATGATTGAACCGGTCTTAG